CAGGCCCACATGGCGGCGCAGAAAATATTGATACAGGTCCAGATCCTGAAGCGTTCCGCATGGGGATTTGCTGACGCACGGTGGCCAAAATGCATATAAAATGTGCACGCAGCGTTGGCGTCTGCCACACAAGCGGCATTCTTACACCTCCTGTCCGGCTCTTGAAAACAAAGCGTCTCCTTGGGGAGTTGCGTCCGGTGATGCGTAACTTCCCCAAAAGAATCTATCAGCTGACCCTAACGCCGCCGGTTCACTGGGGAAGAAGGCAACTGTTATGACTTCCTGCTGCTGCATTTCCCAGCAAACAGGACTTTTCGCATCCTTGCTTTACATGCCTGAAGTCTTAGCAGGTATAACTTTATAGGGTTCAAGGTTTAGGGTTTTAGGGTTCGGTATAAGCCCCTCCAAGCCATGAAAGAAACCCGGAGTAGCATCAGTATGAGCCTACCTTCTCAGTCTCCAGACCTTTCCAGTGGCCGTTAGCACAAGCATCCAGACTCTGATTACCTAAAATCTCCTCCGGCTAATATTAAACCCCCCACCTCCTTAATACTAACCATTCCATATATATATATATAGATATTGATTGTGTTATACCAGTGGCAATATCTAATATTGGGGGGGATTGTTAATTTTAGGGGGATTCGATAAGTTCCACAATTCACCCAAGTCCTAGCCTCTGGAATAGCCAAGAGAAATATGTGGTAAGTTTCTCGGCCACTTTGCTAATACCCCAAAGCCTGTTTCAACATGAGCAAAAATTTACCCTAAGGCTTACCAAGCCTCTGGAGAAACGTTGTATGTTTTCTTTTGTGCCCCTATCCTTAATAATTACCTGAGCCCCAGAATTCCGAATCCCCCAAACACCCGCACAAGCTTTCATCCTCTTATGAATCCGTATGTGCACAGCAGACAGGGGCCTATACTGGTCAAGATCCGGGAGCCTTCATGATTCTGCGGGGTATGGGGGGTCCGTATAGGGGCAGACAAATGCCTTTCTACTTCCTGGGGCAGTAGGACTAAGTAGAAGCCGATATACAGCTCAGGAAAACCTCACCAGACGAACCTTGTATCAGACCTCGCATGTAAGTCCGTGAAACTCAAGCCTCTAGACACTACCTGGCACATGCTTTCATCCTTAGAAGACGCCCCCAAGCCCCAACGCCAAATCACAAAACCCTACACCTCAACGCCTAAAGCCCTAACTCTCCCAAAACCTTACGGCCCTTTACCCAAACAAATCCTTCAGGACGTTCCTTGTATCTAGCCTTAACCCTGAATCCCCAAACTCCAAGCCCAAAACTTAAGGAGAGTATTGTGGTGACCCTGACCCCAGCATAAGTTCTCTAAAAAAAGGCACGTTGTATTGAATTGCTCTTGCTTTGGGGGGGTTGGGATTCACGTGTGGGCCCCTACGTTTCAAAGCTAGAAATTGGAAACCCAAAAACTACAAACCACTATAACAACCCAGCTATTTGATTTGTCATGTGCTGGTTTGCATCTGGTTCTCAACTACATGCACTGGGGTAACCAGTCAACTTTGAACCCCAACACCCAAATCGACAGACCAAACGCTAAGCTATAATCCTGACTTGGACCTACCAATCAACCTTAACCCCCAAATCTCACATTTCAAATGTTAAGCCCTCGTCCTGACCTGCGGTTAAATCAGTGAAACCCACATGTACCACACTAGACCCAAAATCCTGTATGCCCCCATATAACACGAGATGTCCCCAACATCTTCCCTTTGTTCAACCCCAAGGCTCAAATCCCAAACCCTAAAAACCTCAAACCCTACTTGGAGGGTCAGGGGGACTTAGTAAGTGGATGAAAAAGGCGGAGGAGTAGGGTAACTATGTGGGTTATAGGGGTTGCGAAGTCCCCCTGACCCTCCAAGTAACCCCCCAAACCCAAGAGGACCGCACCCTCTACGTTGATCTGGCGCTGCTCGACTCGGGCGCATTGCGCCCGGCAGGTGCGATGCAGGTTGAAATGCTCCTCGGCAACTAGGGCCAAACCCCAAGCCCTTAGGTAGATAGAATAGGGTTACAGACTAGGGATTAGGGTTTAGGGTTCATGAGGGACTAGGTTCAGGGATTAGGGTTTAGGGTATAAGCCCCCTTAAGCACATAGAATATAGGGTAGATGGGGATCTTATTATGCTAGTGGGCATTTACATATTCTTTCTACTTGGGGGGGACTCCGACATCCTTCTAGGTTGAGATTATAGGGCCTCAGGCTATTTGGGTGTTTATCAGGTTTAAGTGTAGGGTTTGGGTTTCAGGGTTCTGCGTTCTTCAGGGTTCGTGGGTTTGAGATTTGAGGGTTTGGGTTTGTGTTTCTGGTTTAGGGTTTGGGCTCGTGTCTCGCGTTGGTTGGTTTAGGGTTTAGGGTTTAGGTCCTTAGGGTTTGGGATGATGAAGTTACACTCCTCCAAACTAACATGGAAACCCATATAGCCCCCGTTTAAAGGGACTGTAGTCTTTGTAGGGCCCTTTTTGGGTTTCCATGTTAGTTTCCGGGAGGGTACACAGACTACAACCTGTTCATCGGAACACCGCCTTGTGCTTTTAGTTCACGGCTCCTTCTATGTGGCAGGGAGAGAAGTGGCTATGGGATTTATGTTACCGGTTTAGGGTTTAGGGCTTAGGGTTTAGGGTTTAGGGTTTGGGGTTTACGGCTTAGGGTTTAGGGTTTAGGGTTTGGGGTTTAGGGTTTAGGGTTTAGGTTAGGTGGACCCCCTCCCAGTAATGGTGACTATAATTGATAATAATTGTATTAGGGTCCTCTTGCATTCCTATTATACCACTATTACTGGGTGGGGGGTCCCCCTAAGATATATGGTAGTTTCCCTAAACAGGGGGACCCAAGTATAGAACGCACAATACTATGATCCTCAGTATAGGGACCCCCCCAAAAGTACCCCACAATATTTGGAACCCCTCCCATATAGATTTTTCTCAGAATTTGGACCTACGAGGAGAACTCACCTTCCCAAATGTCTTGCGCTTCTCAGAGGTACATATAGGTTAAAAGGATGCAGGGTTTGGGGTTCAAAGCATTTGTGATTTGGGGGGTAGATGTGAGTTTGAAGTTGCTGACGCTTAGGGAACCCGTTGATTGGTTCAGAACTTTGATTTTTGATTAAGGCCTGTGGGGCGTTGAATTCAGGCTTCCTTGGGAACTCGACCCCTCAGCCCCAAACCCTAAACCCTAACCAATGACCAACCAGCCTGTCGATAGCCAAGAGGCCAGAAGCATCTAGAGCTCCAGCTTTCTTAACAGACGCCCAAGAATCATCGGACAGCCAAAAATGGTACTTTCCCTAAATAGGGGGACCTTAATATAGACCCCAAAATACTACAATCCTTATTATGGGGACCCCCAAAATGGTACCCCTAAATCTGGGAAGCCCCCAAATCTCGAAGAGCTTCAGCTTTGCCGCAATGCGGACGGCCAGAGAAGGCAAGGCCTGCTGCGGCAGGAGCTACTTCAGCAGGACACAGAGAAGCTGGGAAGCCGAGACCAGCCAGCTAGAAAGGTGGTGCTTAATATGAGCTATAGTCTAAACTCCTTAAAGGGGATTATATAGGGGGATTATATAAGGGACTACTATAGGGGATATTAAGGGCGATACTAGGAGTTTAGACTATGGCTCATATGAGCATTTGTGAAGATGACTCTATTAGGGTGAGTGTCGGGGCGAAGGGGTTTAAAACCCTACGACGTATCCCGATGACCACCTCCTTACAGGAGGTGCTTGCGCTTATGTTCCAGACACCTGGACTGCAAGCGTACCGTCAAAATGTATTCAAAGTCCAAACACCGTTTGACGGACAACGAAGGTTGGAGGAGTGCGGAGACTATCCGGCTGTTTTCGTCATAATATCCTCAGACACAGCTCTCCAAGGTATTCCTTCTCAAGTCAAGAAGCACCCCAGGATTTTCAGCATATTTCCAGCCTTTAAGGTTTAGGGGTAATTCCTTGTATGAAGCTGTAAGCTCACCGAGAAAGGCTCCGGTTAGGCTTTCGGGGTACGAATTTCAGCGGACTTTTGAAACTTCCAGCCGGGATCTCGAAGGTCCACCCGAAACTCAACCCTAAACCCTGCATTCTAAATCCGCATCCTAAACAACTAGACGACCCCAGTGGATTTCTGTGATGTCACCCCTGTTTTGTCCTTCCCGGCACATGCTGCGTACCCCATCTTGTGCCCATACTGTTTGAGTTTTAGGGTTCAGGGAGTATTCGCTGTACTATCTCAATAGAAGTCTTTGTTCAGGATCTCGACGAATTTCCTAGAAAGCCCACGAAAATCACGCCTTTTTCCCTTTCGCCCCCAGGAACAGCTCGTGCTCTTAGCCTTGAACCAACGACCGCAAACCCTAAACCTAAACAGTATCAAGGCTAAGCCCAGATGCCAGAGGCTTACATCTGAGAAGGCTTCAGGGAGGCTTGTAGGGGATAGGTAGGATCCGGGGTTTAGGGTTTAGGGTGCGGGCGAATGATATAGTGGAGAATCCATTGGAAATGACAAAAGACAATAGAATGTAAACTCATTACTGGGTGGGATTGACGCAACGGAGCCCATTGTTCACTATAGGAGCCTGAAGTGATTACGTGCTGATACGATTTCCAAACCACGCTTATGCAATCATACTAGGGTTTAGGATTCAGTAAGTCGCCAGACCCTACATAGTCCAACTAAATGGCCCCTTTGAAGTATCCCCCTGAGCCTGATATGGTAGTTCCAAAAATTAGGGTACCCCAATATAGACCCCAATATACTATAGTCCTTACTTTAGGGATCCCCAAAAAG